AATAAGGAACTGAATATTACAAAACACTTGAAAAATTCGACAGCATATGTTGTCATTTTAAGTATTTTTGCTCATTGTCTCTAAATACGGACAAGTTTGGAGACTAGTGAGAGGGAAGGAGAAAAGTTTTTCTCTTGGATCAAAAAACCCCAGATATCCCCAGAAAGACCCTTAAAATAAAAGAGTAAATCAGCTGTTAAAGAGAACACCTTGTATTCTGTCAACAAAATGTGAAATTGGGAGAACTGTAGCTGGATTTCCCACCCTTGAAATTTTTTTTCATGCCAAGTCATTAAAGCCATATTAATTCCTATTGAGCAAACAGAAGGAAAAAGTATCAGTCTCCAAGTAAACCTCCCATGAGGCACGGGACATAGCACAGCATTCTTAATCCTCCCCAGAGGTGATGAATACTACTGGCGATCTGATCCCAGCTTCAGCAAATTTGACAATGCTAAGAAAGGCTGAGCTTTTCAAAGCAAAATAGCCGTACTCAGCTCTTCTCTCTGCCATGGTCACAGCAGCTTCTTGTGCCCACATAGCCCCTATTGCTAAATGATTTCCTTCTATCAAATACCTGTAGTCTAAGAGTCTGATGGTTCAGATAAACTATGTGCCAAATCTTGGGAAGGTATCTTGTCTTTGTGGAAAGGTCAAGTAGTCCTTAAAAAAACATGAAGGACCCCAAAATATTATGAATACACACGAGTTTAGAGAAGACTATAAGATAAAACACCTCACCATACATAAAAAAGCTTTCCACAATTTGTACTCACCTACATCTTTAGGATGATTGCTCATTTCCCCTTTCCTTCTACTAGCATATATTCAGTCTTCATCTCCTCCACAGTTTGCACATGATGTTCCCTCTGTCCCTTCTCTCCTTTTCTGATGGAAAACTCAGAATCATCCTCGAGAACACTTTAGCTTCGCAGTAAAATAGCCTCCAACAACTCCAGGGAAATTTAGTCACTTTCTTGTCTGTGCTTTTATAAACATTTGTTTATAGGTGTGTTATAACACCTATCACATTATATTTCAACTACGTGTTAAATTTGAGGACAGAGATCATGTCTCCACCACCTAGTGATTAACACAGCCCCTGACAGATAGTAAATATTCAGTGAAATTTTTTAAATAAATAAATATTGTCTAGGGTCTCCCGGGTGGCGCAAAGGGTTAAGACACAACCTATGAAGCTATATGCAGCCACTGCAGCACGAGTTCGATCCCCAGCCAGGGAGCTACCCACATGGTGCAGCAGACCTCTCCTTACTTGCCTGCTACTCCCCTCAGCAGTGTATTTCAGTCTGTCTACCTGTTCTGTTCCCCAATCTGTCTCTGGTGAATCCTCTCACCCCCCACCCCCACACCTCTGGCCTGTACCCCAGTTCTTGTATGCATAAATAAATAAATCTTTTAAAAAATGAATATTGCCTAAATTGGTTGCTTAATTTTTTTCTAAAACTAGTTTAATAATACGATTGTGTTCAATATGACAATATTGATAATGAAAGCACTAATTGCATTGCTCCTGCCAATTATGTCAAATGTGCTCAAAGAATTGAGGGAAAAAAATTTCCAAATTAGAATTTAAACATGGCTTTGTAGCAACAATGAACAATATATTTCTAAAACTATTTGTATTTCCAGTTTTCCCTCCTCTTGACAGGGAATAACAACAACAAAATAGTACCAAATCACACGTGTACTTTGCATTAAGAGAGGTTTTTAAAAAGGCCAAATTATATCATTAGAGAAATGCAAATCAAAACCATAATGAGCGCTCACTTCGGCAGCACATATACTAAAATTGGAACGATACAGAGAAGATTAGCATGGCACCTGCGCAAGGATGACACGGAAATCCATGAAGCGTTCCATATCTTTAAAGGTGTAACTTGTGAGCTTGACTTGGAGTACTTTATCTGCAAATAAAATTGGCACCATGTGCTATCTGTACCAAAAAAAAAAAAAAAAAAAGCCAAAAACCACAATGAAATACCACACCTGTGCAATGGCTCATATCAAAAAGTATAAAACAATAAGTGATGCTGTGGCAAGAAAGGAAACCTGGTATACTGTTGGAGTTAATGCAGACTCATTCAGTACTTATGGAAAAACAGTGTGGAGGTTTCTCAAAATATTAAAAATTTTCTAACATGCGATCTAGCAATTTTACTCTTAGGTAGCTACCTGAAGAATACAAAAACACTAATTTGAAGAGATATACATACTCTTATGTTCATTGAGACACTATTTTTTTTAAAGATTTATTTATTTATGCATACAAGAACTGGGGTACAGGCCAGAGGTGCGGGGGGTGAGAGGAGTCACCAGAGACAGAGTGGGCAACAGGAAAGACAGATTGACTGAAATACACTGCTGAGGGGAGCAGCGGGCAAGTCAGGAGAGGTCTGCTGCGCCATATGGATTGCTTCCTGGCTGGACGTGGATCGAATTTGTGCTGCAGTGGCTGCAGATAGCTTCATAGGTTGCGTCTTAACCCCTTGCACCACCAGGGAGGCCCATGCTGCACTATTTACAATAGCTAAATTATGGAACAACCCAGTGCCCAGGGATAGATGAATGGATTGAGAAGATGTGATATATATATATATATATATATATATATATATACACACATACACACACAATGGAATACTACTTAGTATAGCAAAATGAGCTCTTGTTATTTGTGATGACATGGTTGGAAGTGGAAGGGATCCTAATAAGCAAAGTAACTCAGAAGGAAAAAGTCAAATACTTTGGGATGGTTTCACTCACTTGCGAAATATAGAGAAGCTAAACAAAGGGCAGGTCAAAACCTAACCAATAACAAATCCTATAAAGCTGTTAAATTAAGGCTACCAGAGGGATGCGGGAGAGTGGAGAGCAATGTGTGGAGGGGGCCCAGTGGAATATAGTGGAGGATTATGGGTGTCTTGGTGGTGGGAGTTGCTGGTGGCATCTATCTGAAGAGGTGTGATCTTGTACCTCTAAATCACCTATATAGTGCTCTAAAGCAATATTACCTCAATAAAATAAAATTTTAAAGTAAAAAGATAAAACTAATAGATTTTTACAGTCAAAAGTAACTTTTTATCTATCTAGTTCATGTTTCTACTTTGTATGAATTATCCTTGATAAATGTTCACTAGCTTTACTTCACCACTTCAAGTGATGGGAAACTCACTATTTAAGAAGGCCCTCGATTCCTTTTGAAAATTATAATATCTAGGGGCCTCTCTGGTGGCACAAGGGGTTGAAATGCAGCACTATGAAGCTAACCGCAGCCACTTCAGCACAAGTTCGATCCCCGGCCAGGGAGGTGACCCACATGGCACAGCAGACCTCTCCTGTCTCGCCCGCTGCTCCCCTCAGTAGTGTATTTCAGTTAATCTGCCTGTTCTGTTCCCCACTCTGTCTCTGTGAATTCTCTCACCCCCCATCTCTGGCCTGTACCCCAGTTCTTGTATGCATAAATAAATAAATCTTTAAAAAAAGAAATTTATAATATCTAGTGAGCCCAATCTGTATCTTTGTATCCTTTAGCCTTTGAACTCAGTTCTTCCTTCTTAAACCACAGTAAATATTAATACTTGTTCTTCATTATGATATTTCTATAAAGAATGAAAAATAGTTGTATAGTCATCCCAAGTCTTTTCTAGACATTTTCCCCCAGTTTCATTGAACTGCTCCTCACAAGTTGTATTGTACAACATTTCCACCAAACGTGTGCATTTTCCAGACTTATAGTTTGTCTTTATTGCTTCTAAAGTGGAGCCTGGATCAATATTCCAAGATTTATCCAGTGTGGAGAATTTCCCAGAGCAGGACTAGCATGCCTCTCATCCTAGACTCATACTGGCACTGTTCAGACTTGGACCGCTTCTTACTTAATGTAGAATCAAACGCTGGAAATGGTTAGCATAAGATGGAATAACAGTAAGCCTCGGTGGGAGCAGAGTTAAGAGAACTGATCCAATTCTAGACTTTAGCTGGAAGGCAAGCTGCCTAAATGAAGACTAGCTATACCAAGGACATTCAAGGAATTTTGAACTGCTAGATGGGGACCAGATTGTAGCAATATTTGAGATCAGACAGGTGGCAGCCTCGAGCTGGCTTTCATCAACTCGAGAACAGGAGAATCAAGACCCAAGACCTGCAGTTAAAGTCAAGGGAACTGGGGTACACAGAAGGCCTCCCTTTCTAGGAGAAAAGTGGGATAGTAAGAAAATGACGTTGGAGTTATAAAGACCTTTGTTGGATTCCATCTTCTCTACTTTCCAAACTTCAGTTTTCTCATACAAAAATGAGGCTAATAATAATATTTAAATATTTAGTTAGTACATATCCAATATTATTATTGTAATTTAATTTACAAAAATAAAGTGTAAATTAAATGTATTTTAAAATAATTTTATGTTGGAAGCCTTTAAAATTATTTTCTAAGAGCATTTTCTCATCATATTTTAATACTTCCTTTAAAGAGAAGCACTATATCTATTTTTTTAAAAGATAGCCAGGAATAGTATGGATTGATTAAAAATACTTTTAAAAGTAAGCATAATGAACAAACAACTATAAACCAGAGACAAACTATGGGGGGGGCGGCCAGAATAAGAGGGGTGCAATTGTATTGCATGGGGAATATAAAAATAAAAAAAAAGTAAGCATAATGTATTATGATTCATTATAATCCTTATAATAATCCTACCAAAATTCTGGTTATAACAAATACACTTATTTTCAGATTTTATTTTCTAGTAAGATGGCAACTTTATTGTAAAGCTTGGTACGCAGTCTTTTTATAATATAAATTCATTAATCCAGTTAGATTTACAATTTAACATTTGTTATAAATCTTTGCACAAACCCTTTCCCAGTCCCATAGTATTTTTGTTTTAACATCTAATTATCTTACACATCAGAGAAGGGGGCACCACCCAATAGGGGTGGTTCACGTGCTGCTCTGATCTGATAGTTATGACCAGAGAATTGGGAGTGACATCACCTGCAACAACAAAAAACTTCTTAGATGAGTAGAAGACCCATATATATAAAAGTCACACTTGAGGTTCTACAGTTCATGAGCTTTCTCAAATTTACCCAAGTTTAAGAAAGCATCAGCTGTTAATACACTTGAAAGGAGACCTTGTTCTGGAACATTGTGTGGTGAGTAATCTTTAGTTCAGATGATACTTGTTTTTTTAATAATCAAGCAATTATTTAATGTGTACCATTTTCTACAAATACCATGTTGTTTGTTCAAGGTAAAAATGGGTAAAATGTAAAAGGATCATTTGATTTATGTTTAATATAAAATATGCACTACAAAATAAACTTATGCTACTAAATCATTTATATTTTTAAATCATTGATTTTTGTGATTAAAGTCTGTTAAGATACCTTGCTTTTTACAAAACTCATCTGAAGTTACACAAAAAATATTTTACATTTAGCATATGCCTTATTACCTTATGGAAATTTTGAAATAGACTAATAAGGAATGAATAATTCTGATTTAAATAACCAATATAAATTTATTAAGTTGAATTAAATTTCCTTTTTTTTTCCTACAGAATATCCTTATCTGGATTATTTGGTTTATGACTAAGAGAGAGTTCAATCTTTATAGTTTGAGAAATTCAGTCTTACTGCTGAATGTTTATTCCCTTACATAAAGCCTTTTCAAAATTTTTATTCTGAAAGCCGTAATGAATTTTAAGTGTGTTTTACAACCATTTCCCACCTTTTTCATGACACTCTTGTAAGAAGCTCATCTCTCTATTGAGAATAAGGAGCACAGCAAAGGTGTCTGAAGTTACTAGGTAAAAGTGACTAAGCTAGAATTAGGAACTTCTATTTATGGTGCCTTTTTCTGACATACAGAATTAAAGAGGATTCATTTGTTGCTTCATCAATAGTTTTATATTGCACAGTGAAAATAAAAGGAGTATAATATCATGTTTTTGTTACTTGTAATTGGTGTCATTCCATTTAAAATATGAGTAGATAACCACTTTATGTGTATGTTAAAAGGGGGAACATTAAGCATTAAGAAAAAGCACTTATAATAATAGGCTTTGCAATTATTGAAATGAAGATTAAGGTAAGACTATTCTATTTTGAGATGAAAAGGTTTATGAGGAAAGTGCTAAAAATTATACTCAAACAAGATTGTTAATAAGTTGAAGCAATAGGATACAGACAAGCATTTTTATATGAAGCTAGAACTCTCAATCCATATAACAAATAGCTAGATGATTTTTAAATGCCTTGACTCATTCTTTTTAATGGTAGGAGAAATATTCATTAATTCAGCAAAATCTCTAAGTTAAAGCCTTTTAATTTGGTATTTATGATTTTTATTGCAGTGCCTGAAATGAAGTTGACTTTGCTAATAAACAATGTTAGCAATTTACCTAGTTACGAGAATTAGTCATTTTCAAGCAAATTACAAGCATTTCATTAAAACCAACAGAAAGTGTGGGAGGAAATTCTAAAAAGCTTTTTTACCCTTACATGCCTTAAAATTCATTTATGAAAATTTGCACAAGACTCTCCAAAAGAGATACCCAAGAAGCCAAACCTGATCTATTTTCTAAATCAAATTTTGTGTATATAAGATATACACTAATGTATCTGTAAAATAGATGGTTTTCAAAAACCAATCATGAAAACCAGTCCAATTAATTCCTATCCCATCCTGCACAGTTGTATGGTTATAAATGTAAATTACCATAAAATTAATTACATAGTTTGGGATGTTAAAAATATTTAAAATATCTCCATTTTGCTTTTCATTTTAGGGAAGATGATGTCTGCTAAAGACATTGTTAAAGTAATGGTTGTCATGTTTGCAATTTGTTTTCTTGCAAAATCGGATGGGAAACCTGTTAAGTAAGTACTATAACCTGTTCTGCATTTTAAGAGAATGGGAACTGGATTTTTAAGGATGACTTTGCGATTTGGCAGAGGGGAGGTAATGGAGTGATCCTCTCTGTTTCTGTTCCTTCCAGGAAGAGATCTGTAAGTGAAATACAACTTATGCATAACCTGGGCAACCATTTGAACTCTATGGAAAGGGTGGAATGGCTGCGGAGGAAGCTGCAGGATGTACACAATTTTATTGCCCTTGGAGCTTCTCTAATTAACAGAGGTGGTGGTTCCCAAAGTTTCCGAAAGAAGGAAGACAATGTTCTGATTGAGAGCTACCCAAAAAGCCTTGGAGAAGCAGACAAAGCTGATGTGGATGTATTAATTAAAGCTAAATCACAGTGAAAACAGACCTGAGTAGAGCACTGCTGTTGCCAATGCAGGGCAACAATTTTCCTCGCTGCTAATTTTTTCCAGCTCTATTAAGATTATAAAGTGCCAATATTTCTAATATTTCCAAGCTTTACTTGTGATCCATTACTAGCCACAATAATTATAATTTTAAATGACTAGTTCGATTCTACTTTTACTCATTTAAGAGTTCTCTTAATTATTCTATTTCTATTGTTTATTCTTTTAAAGTATGTTATTGCATAATTTATAAAAGAATAAAATTGCACTTTTTAACCTTTCATCTTACAATATAAAATAAAAACTTAATGATCATTCTAAATAATGATGTTAGGTATTCTCTCTTAAATCTTTGTGGTTATGAAAAACAGAAGTTTAAATTGATCATGACAAGGGGCCTCCCCTGGTGGCGCAGCAGTTGAGTGCTGGGCAGCCTCTGCAGCACTGGCTGGTTCCCTGGCAGGCGGCGAGAGTCCCACCAAAAAAAAAAATAAATAAATAAATAAATAGATCATGACAAGATAGAACAATGCAAAATGTCTTTTTATTTATTTATTTATTTATTTTACCTCAATAACATCTTTATTTTTTTTTAAATAATAGATTTTATTTTTATATTCCCCATACAATTGCAACCCCCCCATTTTGACCCCAATCCCTCCCCTCCCACCCCCCACCCCCGCAAAATGTCTTTTTAATAAAGCTATTTACATTCTGATATTTTGACCATTATACCTTTAATATTACCAAAGTACCCAGGTCCCCAAATCCTTGACTGTGAAATAGTACAGTTTATACTCCCACCAGCAGAGCTAAGCCCCCCATCTCCCTATTTCCACATACAACTGGAGCTATATAACTTACTAAAAGTTTTGATATATTGATATCAAAGAGTAGCTCATTTTAATTTGCATATCTCTGATTACTTGTGAGACTGACCTTCTCTCTCTGCATATTGGCCATTGGCCTTTACTATTTGTGAACAGATTATTTATATCCTTGGCCATTTTTTCCATTGGTTTTCTGGCCCTGTTCTCTTTTAATTGTTTATTTTAATATTGATGGCATATTTTCTCCTAACATATTGTATATACTTACTAACTCTGTGCTAAATTTTGATGAACTCAAATATATCATCTTTTCACCTTGAGGAGTCTTGCTGAACAAGTCTCTCTCCAAACCTGGGTCACAAAGTTGTAAATCTACTTGAGAGTTTTGCCCTTCACTTTTTTTTTTTTTTTTAAGATTTTTTTTGTTATAGCGGCATGCTTTATTTATTTATTTATTTGTTTGTTTGTTTGCTTGTTTATACAAGCACTGGGTACAGTCAGAAGTGCGGGAGGGCGAGAGAATTCACCAGAGCCAGAGCGGGGAGCAGAGCAGACAGAAACGAAGTACACTGCTGAGGGGAGCAGCGGGCGGCAGGAGAGGTCTGCGCGCCATGGGGGACCCTCCTCCGGTGGCCGGGGAACAGCCGGGGATCGAACCGGCACTGCAGAGGCTGCGGGCAGCTTCGCAACCCAGCGCTCAACCGCTGTGCCACCGGGGAGGCCCTTGCCCTTCACTTTTAAGTATTGATTTTTCTGGATTCTATTTTGTTTATGACAAAACATTATATTTGGGCTTTATTTTTTTCATATGGCAGATACTGTTCCAAATACTAGCTATCAAACAATTCATTATTTTCACATAGTTTTGTAGATACATTTAAAAGAATCATAGCTTAAGCTTCCATGCAGTTCTTATGCTAAGGCTTCCTTTTCAGTAAAACAAGTTAGATGAGCTTCCAGATAGAGGCCCACAAGTGACTTTTTTCTCCATTTCTCAACTTAATCACTGAACAATGTGTCCCTTTGATATCTCCAATGCTATGATTCTCCTCTCCTTGTAATCAGCTTACGGGAAATGATCCTTCCCAGATAGATTCTCATGGGTTGAGCCTCTGAATATGCAACCCAGGCACTCTTCAGAAAGTTATTTCATCTTGTAGTAGCAATTCATGGAGATGGCCCCCAAGAAATATGCTAGAGGAAGAAACAAACCTCACCTTTAAGCTCCAGGCCTCTCGGATCTAGTTCAACCTTTATAAACTTACTGCAATACCCAGATTTTAAAATATATTTCTGCAGTTCTTATGCTAAGGCTTCCTTTTCAGTAAAACAAGTTAGATGAGTTTCTCAACCACATACATTCCTGGTAATATCAGAAGAGTTGGAGTATCTGATCCCTCAATTTTAGGCCATGTGCTCTTCTTTTTGGACAGAAACCACCTGTCTCCTTAAGAGAACTATAGTTTGGTTGCAACATCTGTAGTTTCTTTGGCAGATGATCAAGGGTTCTTACCCTTCCTTGGAATCCCAGGGCAGAAGAGTGAACACAGAAGTTCTAAATAGACACATTTGTGAAGATGTATAAATAGAGTAAATAGAAATGCTCAGAGGCATTGAAAAATGAATGGTTTTTAGGCAAATCCTATCTGGAAGTTTGGATGGAGAACAGTCTTGGCTGGCAGTGTCTTCCATGCCCCCCTGCCCTCCATCCAATGAGACTTGAAATCCAGAACTCCGGATCTGAAGATCCCAGGAAAGATCCTTCATGATATGCATTTTCCCTGCAAATACCCATAGTTCATTCCAATGTTTCTCTAACTTCCAACTCCTAATAGTGGCAGCCAGGGATGAAGTGGGAGGACCCTAGAACATAAGCAGCAGAGATGAATGTTTTGGACTCGTTTGGGCATATGCAAATCCAATGCTCTGCAGGTCATTAAGAGAATGTAAGTCATTGGTTATACCTAGATCAAGTCATATTCACATAGAATCTCAGAAGTTAGCAGTATATGGGCATATAGGGGCATCAGTTTTCTCCCAGGTCATGTTAGTCTGGATCCTCTGGGTCCAAGAGATGTCAAAACACTGGGGACAAGTAAAAAGGCAATCCTGAGGGCCTCCCCGGTGGCGCAGCGGTTGAGCGCTGGGTTGCGAAGCTGCCCGCGGCCTCTGCAGCGCCGGTTCGATCCCCGGCTGCTCCCAGGCCACCAGAGGAGGGTCCCACATGGTGCGCAGACCTCTCCTGCCGCCCGCTGCTCCCCTCAGCAGTGTACTTCGGTCCTTCTGCCTGCTCTGCTCCCCGCTCTGGCTCTGGTGAATTCTCTCACCCTCCCGCGCTTCTGACTGTACCCAGTGCATGTATAAACAAAACAAACAAACAAACAAATAAATAAATAAAACATGCCTCTATAAAAAAAAAAATAAAAAAAATAAAAAGGCAATCCTGATTCTTCCTCTCTGAATGCCTGAATCAGGTGAGGCAGAGGTCATGTTTGCAGAATATCAAATAGGAAACTTGAAAATACTTCAGACAGATGGAACAGGTTCATTCTTTTCTGAGTTTTTTGGCCATGACCACAATTTCAATGTGGCTACTTTGGTTTTGTGCTTTTCTGAGGTACTGCAACTTAACAGGATTCGAGAATTCTCATAAAGGAATTTCACTTTGTATATTATTGCTATATCAGTATTTTGTGCGGGGATAAGGGCTAAGACTTTCTATTCTACCATTATTTTTGCTCTCTCTCTGCTTACTTTGTTCAGCTTATGTCTTTATCTGTTCATGAAATAAAAAGTGTACACACACATAAACACATAATACCTTTCTTTGTTAATCATTTTTCTGCCATACAAGTTTTAGAGTAAGTTTATTCTCTTCTAAAAAACATCCAGCTGCAATTTTAATGGGGATTGTATTAAAGTTATGGTGTCAAGAATTGTCATCTAGGGCCTCCCTGGTGGCGCAGCGGTTGAGCGCTGGGTTGCGAAGCTGCCGGCGACCTCTGTAGCGCCGGTTCGATCCCCGGCTGCTCCCTGGCCACCTGAGGAGGGTCCCACATGGCGCGCAGACCTCTCCTGCCGCCCGCTGCTCCCCTCAGCAGTGTACTTCGGTCCTTCTGCCTGCTCTGCTCCCTTCTCTGGCTCTGGTGAATTCTCTCACCCTCCCGCGCTTCTGGCTGTACCCAGCGCATGTGTAAACAAAACAAACAAACAAACAAATAAATAAATAAAAAACATGCCTCTAAAAAAAAAAAAAAAGAATTGTCATCTATATTATATCCTATTCATCACTGTACTCTTTTCATGTGTTCTGATCCCTTTTATGTCTTTTAATTAGTTGAAACATTTTCTTTCTTTTTTTAAATAATGTAGTTTTATCTATTTTTTAAACATTTTTAAAAAATATTTTATTTTATGCATGCAAGAGTTGGGGCACAGGCCAGAGGTGTGCGGGGTGAGAGGATTCACCAGAGACAGAGTGGGGAGCAGAACAGATTGACCGAAGTACACTGCTCAGAGGAGCAGCAGGCGAGTCAGGAGAGGTCTACTGCGCCATGTGGGTTAGCTCCCTGGCCAGGGATCAAACTTGTGCTGCAGAGGCTGTGGACAGCTTCACAGGGCAGCCCTCTACTGCCTGCACCCCCAGGGGAGGCCCATACCTTTGATTTTCTATACAGGTGATCATACAATCTCAAATAATGACTTTTTTCCATTTTCTGCCCTGATTAAATGTGATCCTTTCCCCCAAACCCTCTTATAGTACTACACGGGTCCTCTGATAACAGGTTAATGAATGATATTGGGCTCCCGAATTAATATTTTAAAGGTTTTTTTTTTTTTTAAGTAAATGACAGTGAGAACTTCATTAGAATTTTTTATTTCCTTTCTTTTCTTTTAAAAATAACAGAATGAAATAACTCCAGCCCTTGAATCAGAGTAAAATGGTTTGACTGGATTCCACCATATAATTTCATTTGAAATCTTTCCCTGATACAATTTTTCCAATGGTGCTGGGAAATTACTAGAACATAGATGAGGACATGGTAAGCAGAGCCCCTAATTGGCCAACAGCAGGATTAGAACTATCTTTTGATCTTTTTCTATAAATTGTTGGGCTTTTTGTAGGGAGGACAGGGTGAGCCAAATGGAACCATATTATAAAAT